CCCCAAAACCCCAAAACCCCAAAACCCCAAAACCCCAAAACCCCAAAACCCCAAAATAAGAGCTGATAATTGAAAATAATATAAAATAAATAATGGAGTAAGTATAAGCCGGTTTAAGCCTTGGAAACATTGAAATGTTAAGTTTCAGACCCCAATAAAATCAGACTTTATGAAATTATAGCCTCCTATGCACCCCAAACCATCGGCCTAGTTCATCCACAAAGTTATAGTTTTCCTAAGACTCTTTGGTGCTCTAAAACCCTGTCCTTCAGTTTAAAGGTTACGATTATTCATAAATATATTAGGTTAACGATATCCTGATATCTTTGTCAAAACTCGTATCTGGATGCGTCTAAATCTCTTATTCCATATAACTTCAGGTTTTAGTAATGAAAGTCGGTTAGAAATGGTTCGAGCGACCTTATCCCAATATATGTATTTTTATATACAATGAAGGAACTTCCAGTTTATGAGTTTTTCCAGATTTCATAAAAAGGAATCGTTTAGGAAATCCACATAATTGAGAAACTTTGTATGCTAAAAGTTGATTTAGAAAGAACCCTACCCAAAAAGAACCCCTCAACGTCCTTGTTAGCAAAGACGACCATAGAAATTTTACCGAATTCATGAAATCGAATAGGAAAGTTAAGAAATTATCTAAGCAAATGCAGAGAATGCTTGGTGTTCGTTCTATCAAGAACATCATTTTTGAAGAAAACGATGGTACTGAAATACCTTTCACTGATATGTTCGAGTACCGCACAGCCATTGGAGCTGGAGGTTTTGGATTCGTAGTAGCCGCTTTGGATAGATCTACAGGTGAAGAAATAGCAATTAAGATTTTATGTAAAGACAAGGCAAGTGATAAAGTTATTGAATTATTTAAGCAAGAAGCTGAGCTCTTGGAGATGTACAATCATCCGAATATCACAAAATTCAGGTTTTTACACAATTACAGTAATTATATATGCCTCGGCATGGAGCTATGCATGGGAGGAACTTTAATGGACTGGATTATACAGCAAAGGCAAGTTGAATACGAAACCTGAGAAGAATATGAAGAGAAATGAGCTGAGATAACCAAATACATCTTAGAAGGTCTCCACTATCTCCATAACAGCCTTGAGATGATCCACAGAGATCTCAAGCCTGCTAATATTTTATTTTTGAAGAAAAATGATCTCTCTTCAGTTAAAATATGAGATTTCGGGTTAGCTAAAAATGTTGGAAATTCTATATTTGATCAGCATTATGAAAATGTTGGAACAATTATGTATCAAGCGCCTGAGCAAATGGATGAATCAAAATCTTACTCTAAAGCAGCAGACTTGTGGGCTATTGGCATGATCATCTATGAAATGGTAACCAAGGGAGGTCACCCAATCCTAGGTGCTGATATTCATAAAAGCGTTAAAATTACTGCAATTGATTACAGAAAACGGATGGATAAGTTTGATATGAGCTTTAAGGAATCCAATACAACTTGAAACATTTCAGATTTTGCTAAGAATTTGATTAGTAATCTTTGAAGCAAAAAGGCTAACTTGAGGTACAACTGAAGCAGAGCTCTCATGCATCCTTGGATTACAAGAAACGAGAATGACAAAATTCCACTGACTCCACAAGAAGAACTGGAGAGGAACTTCTTGAGAATGGTAGGATACTCCTGCTTAGTGGGCTCATTTCTTATAGGACTCTGAGAGATCAAATATTCTGAACAATTCCGAGTTTTTATCCAAGAACAAGGAGCCAATTCAAAACCATACAAAAGCTGCCATCAAGATAGAGAGATTATCAGAAAGAGATAGTTCCAGTTCAAATGAATATTCCCTTTCGGATCATCAGAATGAATCAAGTAAGTACTCTTTAGGCATATTTGTTAATTATTTTAGGCGGCAGTATTGGAAAAATTGGCAGCAGAAATGCCTCTATAGTGAAGGGAACTCCAATCCCTGTCAAGTCTAAAATTAGTAACCTGAGTAAATTATCTAAGAGGTCAACTCTGAAGCTCAAAAAGAACAAGAGGAACAATAATTTTATAAACAGGAGTGCTAAGAAGAGAGTATTAACTGTAAATAAAGCTCTTAGTACTAAGTTCAACTCTCACAGAAGGAACAAGGATAAATTTCTTCTCCCTCCGATCAGGAATGGAACTCGTTGTACTGATACATATGAAAGTAAATCCAATACTTCAAGAGCTGGGACTGACAACACCAAAAGAAAGCTGGACAACAAGAAGATCAATAGCATTCCATTAGGTAATGCTAGGATTATGGGGCATAAGTCACCTATCAAAGTTCCTATCTCAAAACGACTCTCTGACCATTTGGATTTGGAGAAAAAGCAGTATTGTAAAAATTATGATTTCTCAATCAAGAAACCCTGAAGAATATGCCTATTCCAGCATTGTCAATGAGTAATGGAGTTATTTTACCTTTTAGACTATACCTAAATCATCAAAATATCAACCAGGGATGAGCAAGAGTAAATATAAACCTCCTTTTAAGAGCGTTGAAAAAAGAGATGCCCAAAGGTCCTCTCTCACAAGGATCGAACTAAACAAGGACATCGATCAGTTCTCTTCTCCATATAACAAGGAAAAGGAAGAGAATACCTATTTTCCAAAATCTTGGATATTTTCAGCGAAAATATTTAATCAGTAGTAAAGTAACTTTTCAACATATAAACTTGCTGTGGGGTTTTGGGGTTTTGGGGTTTTGGGGTTTTGGGGTTTTGGGG